GGTTGTGGTCGGAGCTGCTGTGGTTGTGGTCGGAGCTGCTGTGGTTGTGGTCGGAGCTGCTGTGGTTGTGGTTGGAGTTGCTGTGGTTGTGGTTGGAGCAGCTGTGGTTGTGGTCGGAGCTGCGGTGGTTGTGATCTGAGTCGCTGTAGTTGTGGTTGCGGTTGGAGCAGCTGATGTCTCTGCAACCGTCAGCGTTGTACTTGCTGTCGGTTGGTTATTTTTGGAAAAGTTTTATTTTATTACACTGTTTTTTTACAGCTTCTTATTTACACAAACTTTTTAAAATTTTACAATCATGAACTTACCATTTAGTATCAGTAGTATCATCAAGATTCCTTTAGAACCCATTTCCAATCTTTGTCCTGAAAAAGTTTAACACATCACCACTTGTGACTTTACAGACTTCCACCAACTGAATAGACTTTTGCAGATGCACTGAATTTAAAACAGATATTTTAAAACATAAACTAGAACACAATTGTAAGTTTTTTATATTACTTGTAAATAATAAATTATATCTAAATTGTAATAAATTGTATAAATTGTAAGTGATCAATTATTATACATAAATTGTTTAAACAGACAATTTGAAGCAGCCTTTGTCTTCTTCAAGAACAGAAGAAGACAAAGAAAATTATTCCACACAAGCTATGAGCATCTGACAGTTCATGCTCAAACAATTATCAAAACAGAAAACACATCAAATTCATGTATTTATCTACAATATCTTCTTTTTAGTTTTTTCAGTCTTTTTTAACAAACACAATGTTCTTTAAGTATTGGAAATTAAAATAAGCAGTACATATAGCCATATTTATGTAGCTAAAAAAATCTTTAAATATAACTTTTTTTTAAAAAAAGAACTAAATGTGTTAATGTTTCATGTAAGGGTTTGCTCATGTATTCTGTAGATTATATTTTGTCATCAACATTTAGTTCCCAGTCATAATCTACACTTTATTACCAATTAAAAGTTGTTAAATTGTTTTGACATATTTTAATCTATCTTAAAGTCTTCCCAGTCACCATTTTATCATGTGTGGAAAATGTTACACTTTTAGCAAGCTTGCCAATATTAAAGACACAAATATGCGTAAAAATTGAGTCATTCATTCCAATTTACATTTGCATTAAATTGAAATGCATTTCTGACTGCATCAATGTTTTTTTTTTTACCTTTCTGTCAATTTATAGGAATTTTATTGGCAAAAGCACTTCACACAGTAGACTTTTTTGTTTTTGAATTTTGTCTTTTTGGGGGAATGAGGGCAGGGGGTCATAGTCATTACAAGTACAGCTATACAATGACAGTGAGAACCTCAAACACAAATCACATCAAAATAATTTTTTAAAGAAAAGCTAAAACCTCGACTTCTCATGCAGGTGTAAATTACAAAGCCTTGTACTAAATTACAAAGCCTTGTACTAGTGTACCTTAATGTGAAATCAATCATGCATTATTAGACCAAGAAATGTACTTACCCAAAGCAGTAGCAGATTTCAAAAAGTTCCTCTAATCCTGTCCTGCTTCTCCTCCAACTCTTGGTTAACCAGTCTGCTGCTGAACCTTATATATCACTTGTCTATTGCAAGTATGACGCAGGTTGAATTTTTTTTTTTTTTTGTACTGTTGTTGGTGTCAAAACATCTCACTGAGCAACGGTAATTTGGTTGCATTCCTTTTGTCTAACCATTCCATCATAGTGAACAAACCAGACGTCATTAACTTGTTTTGTTTATGGAAAGGGGTGTAACACTGACTAATAGAAGAGGGTTTCATAGTTACATAAGTTATTGTACTGAATGACTTGGTCGTTTTAATAATTTTCACTTTAATTTGCCCCACAAGTTCTTTTTTTTTTTTTTTTAAGAAATTTGTATGTCTCATTTTCTCTTTTTCTTTTTTTTTTTTAGCACAGATGCTATGAAATCTACTTCCTACAAAGTTGAACAGACTGTTTTGTACAAAGGTTTAAGTTATTTATAAAGTGTCTGATGTATTTAAAAACTAACTCAAACAACAATACCTTTAGACATACCTCTTGTTAAAGATGAATAGCTTTTAAACTGCAACTGTGTTTTCATCAGTAGTATTCACAAAGGTAAGAATCCAAAGGTGTGGCTGCATCATTATGTTTCTCTCACACTGAACACTTTATTGAATACAAGCATTAACACTTCGTGTTTAGTTTTTTAAACACTATAAAACTTGTTTATATTGGCAAAAACTTGTTCAGTGGAATAAACTTTATATTCAACAAAAATAATACTGTAGGTCAACTCCTCGCAATCCTGAAATGTATTTTAAAACGCGCATAAGGGTCTGACAATATAATCGAAGATGTTTCTGTTGTAGATGTTGTCACTAAGAGATTTCTCAAATTTAAAACAAAGGTTTTTGCTACATTCAATTTTTATTTTTGAGCTGTAGCAGTTTTAAATGAGCTGGATCAAAAAAGAAACAGAAAGTTCACAATATTTGAAAAGAGTTACACAAACCACTTAGCGACAAGTAAAAACACAAATGCAAAAGTGAATGAATAAAATTTCATACACATATTATATTTCCCAACATTTAAGATAACATGTATGTATATGCCTAAATTTAGTTAAGATATGTGTGTAGTGGTTAAAATATAATAATAATAATAATAATAATAAATATATGTTTAGTGATTAGCACAAAACATTTATACCTACTTGTTTTCTGTAAGACTAATATGACATTTGTTTTACCAGCAATATCCAAGACACTAAATCCAAAACCATATAAAATTATATACCAAATCTTTGATTTCAAATATGTGCAAATGTTATCAGGAAGTTTTTTTTATTATTATTTATACGTGGAATGTCATTGCATACTTAAATATAGAAATTGTTTTTGGGAAATCTCTTCATCTGGAGATATAAATAGCAGCAAATTTGGCCAACCCACTGCAAACGTGCAGGAAGAAAGATCTATGAAACAGAACAGCAGCCTGCTTACGGTAACATCAGCATCAGCTGAATGTTACAATAACATTCAGGGTTAGGGTTGTCTTCAGTGCTGGTATTAGAGATTTATATTTTATTTCCTTGAGCGTGTGAATGACGTCAGCAGCAAACAAAGCATTCCTTTGTTCAGAAAAAGCCGAGCAAAAGGTGTCATTCGCCTTCATGTCGATTTTCTCAAAAATGACTGAGAAAGAAATGCCGCACAACTGAAAGCGTCTTTTATTTGACATTGGAAGTGAAAATCACTAATTCCACCTCGTGGTACTATTGGAAGTTTTAAATTTACTTTTAAAAAACATATATATTTTTTTTCTCACAGTTTGACTTTACATCAGACTAAACTCTAACCGGGTACAAAAATAATTATTTATTCGTTTTCTAGTTGTTTAATGCCAGAATATTTAGAAAGACATTTTCTAAGGATTGTTTTATTACTTTATTCAGTGTCCAAGTGTTAGATTTGCTTAATTTAAAAACAACAACAAAACATTTACTTAATGTTCTGTATTACAACAGATCTTAAGAAGTTTCTGGTTGAAGACGCCTTGTCTTTCCTTTGGCTTTCGTTATTTGTTTGTGAAACAGTTTTCCTTTTTACGATGAACTTGAGAGGCTCCAGAAAGCAGGACCAAGTGTTTTTACGCTTAATGTTTTTACGCTTAATGTTTATTTTGTGATTATTAATATGTGACCGATGTGGTAGATTGTAGCTATCGCTGCTATTAGCTAATCTGCGGGTTAAGTTTCTTGTCTGCATTCTTTACACATACAAACGCACTTGTCATTAAACTAAAAAAAAAATAAAAAATATATTGTCGTCTTACCTTTACTTATAAATGAAGTCCATGCGCCGCTCATTTTGCACAAAAGTATCAGTTCAACCAAAGCCAAGCCAAGACTGATCTAGCTTCTTAGCAAATTATTTGTCACAAAATCCAATCCGAGTCCACACAGTGCCACAAGTTGAGAAAAGAAGGTAAGTAAATCAGAAAAGGCCGTTTCTAACAGGACATCCACAAAGCCAGTCTTTCCGTTTGAAACGAGCGGGCACCCTTCTGTCTCGTAGTTTGAAGTAAACCTTTCAGCTCCGGTGTTGGTCTTCCTTTACTTATTTCCTGCTTCGATTGAAAATCCACTTGAGAAAACTGCTTAAGTGTAAAAATGTAGTCATCCATGTTGACGTCGGAAGAGAGGAGAAAACAATAAATATATTGCTGCACTTGACTTCTTTGCTTGCTAGCTCGCTGTCTCTTGCTCTGCAGACGTGGAGTCCAAGACCAATGTCTGGAATCATGAGCGCCCCCTGCCATGAGGCAAGAAAACTGCCTGCCTCACCTCGAATCTGTTCTCTGCCGTTTATGATCGCTCCTCGGCACATATCTGAAAATTTAGAATGAAAGCTATACACCAACTCATCTACATCACTACTGCTTAAGAAGAGTAGATCTGATTAAATGTTTCTGCTGTGTTTTCTGTGAAAGAACGTTTTGTGATAGTAGCTTTTTGGCTAAGTGAGTGAATCTTTATTGTTTCTTTCAAAGATAACAGGGAAGTGATCCGAGAGGGCGACATCGGTTACAGAAACATTGGAAATATTCACACCCTTACTGAGATCCAGGTCCAGTGCGTGACCTTGATTGTGGGTTGTTGAATTAGACCAAAATTATCTAGAATATTGCACAGCTTTTTTGCTCCTCCGTCTTGGGGTTTGTCAATATGAATGTTGAAGTCACCAACAATTATCAATCATAATCAATACATATGAGAGATAAAAGTTCATTAAAATCAGCAAAGAAGTTTTCTACAGATGTTGGAGTTTTGCATGAAGTTAGTGTTAAAGTTCGTTTCTGGCCTTTGACCTCAATACACAGATACTCAAAAGAGGTGAAATGGCCCAAAGAGATTTTGTTACAATTTATGATATTCTTGAATATAAAAGCCACGCCTCCTCCTTTTATATGTTTTCTATTCTCACTTTAAACAATTGTAGTAGGAGGCGCTGATTCAATTAGTACAGGTGATTCAATATTGTCATCCAACCATGTTTCTGTCAGGAACATAACATCAATATTATGCTCGGTGATGAAGTCCTTAATTAGTAAACCTTTTGGTGTTAACGATCGAATATTTACAAGAGCCAGTTTGAGTGAGTTGGTGGGAGATAGTTCCAGAGATTGACTAGAAAATTATTTGTTTACATGACAAATAACAGTAACTTCATTAACTGTAAACCCTGCTGTTTAACACAATAACAAAATGAAAAACTCCGTAGATTATTCTCAACTAATAGCATAATATTTTAAACCAAGTGTGTGATTTGTGACACTTCAGTAAAAGTTGATTTCACAATTTGTATGCTTTTGGACAACACTAGAACTGCTCGTTATTGAAGTTTCACAAATCAGATAAAGGTTTCACAAATCCCACACTTGGTTTTAAATATTCTGCTATTAGTTGAGGATTATCTAATCCAGGTTTGAAGAGTCTAGGTGTTGTAGTTTTTTAGTTAGAGTACATTAAAGATGCTGACGGTAGTGAAAAATTAGGTAGAATCGCCTTTTAGCCATTTCCCGAATTGGAAGCTATACAAATAAAACCAACTTCAGCTTTGTTCAAGCAGCAGGGCCTAATATACAGTTCTCTTAATGTATGACAAATCTGTAGTCGGCATAAAATTAAATAATCCCAAATACATATGTAGCCGGGGCATATTGCCCTCCCCGAATGTGTGCTGCTGCGCCCTCTTCCTCTTGTCCAAATATGGAAGACGCTGTGATGGAGCGCAGCTGGCTCGTTAGGGAGACAGGTAATCGGCGTTTACATTTAAAATCAGGTAGATCGCTGAGGAGATGAGATGCAGGCTGATGACTCGTGCAGAGGTATGTCTGACATTAATCGTGAGGTGAGTTTAGAATGTATTTCTGATTCCTCCACTGATTGTTGTAGGAAACATACTTTAGAGAGTGACGTCAAGAGCGCCGTTTACTGGTTTCACTTTAGAGAAGGTAAGGGCTAGTGATGGGTAGATGAGGCGTCATATCGTTTCGATCCATAGCAAAACTGTGTCGATTCTGTCTCGACACTGTGTCACTGAATACCGACACCTGCTGGACATTAAAAATTCCTACCTGCAACGTAGTGATTTGATGACGTAGTCTATACAATAAGATTTAAGTCGTTGTATTATATTGTCATCTTCGGTTAATTTTAAAATATATTTGACATGCAGTCGATAAAAATGTGAACATGTAAAGTGAAAATTTAAGTTAATGTTTGGAATGAGGATGCTTGTGGACTGTTTTTTTTTTCTCCCCACAGATATTAAGTTTTTTTACAACATTTTGAAATTTTGCCTGTTACGCTTTTTTGACAGAACTTCTCCTGCTGTAGAAAAAAAATGAAAAACACTACAGTGAACCCTTATTTTTCTTAGGGTTTGCGTTCCGAAAATAACCCGTGATAGGCGAAATCCGTGAAGTAGTTGCCTTTATTTTTTTACAGTTATAACACAGCATAAGTAAATGCTCTACATTGAAACCAAGTAACAAAACCTGTTTTCAGATCAGCGGATGTGCGTGTGCATCAATCAAGCCTTAATGTGATCCGTAGTTGTGTCTCCTCCAACCTGCCCTGCGAGATCAACAGAGCGATGGATCTCGTCAAACGAGCCTCCGGTCGGGTTCTGCGCTGATTCTGGCCAGTTTTTTCCAGCAGGCATTCAAAGTTTCAGTTTCCATCTCCTGAATGGCCAATCTGTATTAAATAACGTAACTTTATTGGCACTCGGGTAGAGAAGAAGCGCGGAGACCGTTTTTACCAGTCATGGGGTTAATCAGGACGCAGAACACTGTGGAAGAAAAAAAAATACACAAAAAAAATCTGCGATACCGTGAAAGGTGAACGCAGCGTATTATAGCGAGGGTTCACTATATATGAAATTTATAAAAAGCAACTGAGTAATTTGTAGATTGGCTGTAGTTTATCCTAGGTGTATCTGGGACTTCATTCTCATGCCTGGCCTCATAATGCCTCAACATTGAGGTGGATTTATTTAAATAAGATGGTTTAGTCAAACATATGCGGCACTTAACCTGCAGAATAATATGAAAGTAAACGGAGTCAATTTCAGCTGAATTTGGATTCAGATGGATAAAGTAGAAACTGACAGTAACCGGATGAAACGACAAAATTGAAAACAAATGTATTTTCCAATATAAGATCAAAATGGTCCCACACTGCGGAAACCTTTCGTTTGAGGCTGCGCCATAGGTGACGCTGTACCGTAAGATCAATAATTTGTTTGGCAAATGCTTTTGACAGATTCGCTTCCTTATAAACTCAGTTTGGCGCATTAATGTCATTTCGACACAGTCCTGTATCGGTCCCGTGACTTGCTGAAACCAATACGCGGACCGACACGGGTTTTGGTTTGTGGGCTTGGCGCATGCGCCGACTAGTAGACCGGACCCATCACTAGTAAGGGCCGTTTCTTATAATCTGGCTGTTTAGTGCTCTTGTCTAATTAGATCTCTTGTGTGTAGGTTGGCCTGCTGCTTTTTTTTTTTTTTTTTTTTTTTTTTTTTTTTGTTTAGGGAAAGGGGGTTTCTATTGTCCAGCCCTCTGGCTTGTTTTAAACCGGGACCTATGCTGTCTCTGGGTCCTAAACTGTTTTTAGATTGAGGAGACTAGTGGAAGGGGAGTTTTTCTTTTTTTCTCTCTCTCTCTCCTTTGCTGTATTCACCAGGAATTTCTGTGAGTGTGTTTTTGTTGGGGAACACTTGGGTGCATTTAGTTGTATTTGTGTTTTCTTTATTATTCCTCCCCCAAACAGTGTAATTTTATCTAATTGGGTTTTAATTATTTTTCTGCTTTAAGGATCCCAGGGCCAGCATAGACTCCCACTTTTAGTGTGGTCACTTGGTATAATAAAATAAATCGTGACTATTTTTGCTCATGAAACATTTGTGAATTCAATAAACTGTTTGTAATCTGCAGCAGTGCCTCTGTCAATTTTTACAAACTTATCTGTGTGATCTGGTTAAAAAGAGGATCTAAAGTTGTACCCAAGGTCACGCATAATTTAATGAAAGCCTTTCATAATGATGGTGGCGTCAGTTATAGGAATTTGCCTTGCAATCGGTGGATTGCCAGTTTGATGCCTGTTCAACCTTTGAGATTTCAGTGTGATTTTTAAATGGTATTATAAATTAAACTAAAATGTCACAAGAGCATTCTAGTCTTTGTAAAATTTACTTTTGCAGTCTGGTTGCATCATAGATATAAACATCAGCAAAATTTCTAATTTTGGCAGATTAATACAGTTAATTTTAGGGTAATTAACTGCTGGCAATATTAAAAAAGTTTCAGTGAATTTTACAATTACTTAGATTTTTACAATAGATTTCTGTATTTACTACATTTCCTGACTGTCAAAATCACTTCAAATATATGCTCATTGGGTTATTGTAATTCCATGTATTTTCTATGGTAATTTTTATTTATATTTTTGCAGTGTTTGTGTGGCCATCAAAGCCCTGATCTCATTCCTATGAAGAAATTGTGGGAAGATCTGACAAGGTGTGTGCAAGTGAGGTGGCCTACAAAATGGACTCAGACCCACCAACTCATCAGGAGGAATGGGCCAGAACTCCAGCAGAACTTCCTGTGGAAGAAAACCCTAAAGACTTGACACAAATCATGTAGTTTAGTAAATGGAAAAAATGTTTAATTCTAACTAAGGTAAAATGAGAAGTTTGGTTTGTAACTTCAGACAGCGAGGAGAAAAGACTATTTAAAATATAAAAACAATTCCATTGCATTATTGTATTACTTTTATTAAACTGACAGGTATACACTTTACAGAATACTTTGTGTTATAAATACAATTAAAAGGAAAAGAAAAACTGGACAATCATACAATACCTTGCTCAGACAGCTTATTTTTGGTAAATCTTGCAATATTTATTGAGAGAAATATTCACCAAACTAAATAATCCTTCAAGAAATACCTTCATGTTTAATTTTAAAGATAATAAATTAATTCAGTGACACAGAATAATTAGTTTTGCATAAATAAATAAAACAAAATTGACATGAGGAAATTATCAAGTTTCAATGAATGTTTTAAAGTTCAAAGTGACTCTTGGTCTGGAATTAGAACAACATTCTTGTTCATACTAGCAATAATTGAGATTTTCATGCAGATTTTCCTCTGGAAACCAGCAGAGACGTTATTGCTGTGTTGAAAGAAGCCATGACAACAGGATCAAGCTGAATGCAGTGATGAGGCTGATTGTGTGGCTTGTTCCACTTGATGTTTCTGTGCGTAAAAGAAGACAAAAAACAAAACTTTTACATCAACAAACTCCTTGATGTCATAGATCTTGTATCCTTAATGTGATAACTTATATTTTCTATAGTTTGAATGTTTAACTTACGTGCGCCATCCACAAAAATGGAAGTGATGTCAATGTTGAAAGCTGTGACGGTTGAATTTGCTTTCACCAAAACATCTCTGATTTGGGCGTTATTAGGTTGGGATGCTGTTTCAAATTCAAGGTCAATGTTGTTGATGATTGATCCATTACTGCAGAGGTAACAACATCAAAGTTAATCTGTGCACATTCATATTAATCAGTCTTCAGAATTTATATTCAACTCATACCTGAATGAAATCACAATGAAATTGCGGTAAGAAGAGAACGCTGCCTGGAAGAGTGGTACAAGCTGCAGAAAGACAAAAAAGTGTTTTTCTATTAATGGTGAATTTTAACATTGGATACTTCAAAATATAATTGCAGCAATCAGGCTTGAAGCTCGTGAAAAAGAAGTAAAGGGAATTCAAATCGATCCAGACCAATTTCTCCTGTCATATTGCAAGCTTGGCTTGATAAAACATGTTCAAACCAATTTTTTTTCGTTCATGCAAAAAATAAATATGGAACATGTTTTTGAGTCTGTGTGACATTGTATGGATATTTTATATTTGCTGCCAAAGCATACAGATATGAAGAATGAAAACTTGATGTATTATTTCATTTAGGTAAAATGTTTTAGGCACTAATGCAAATATTTCACAACCATCTCAAATAATACTTACATGGGTCTTCAAAAGGTCAGCTCGATTTATGAAAGCTGTAGATTTTGGGTCCAGCAACTCGGTGGTAAATGTCTCTCCTGCCGACCTAAAAGTCAGTCGCTTTGTCACTGTTGACTCCACAGTTGTAGTGGTGGTTGGTTTAGTTGTAGTTGTTGTGGTGGTTGGTTTAGTTGTAGTTGTTGTTGTGGTGGTTGGTTTAGTTGTAGTTGTTGTTGTGGTGGTTGGTTTAGTTGTAGTTGTTGTTGTGGTGGTTGTCATAGTTGCAGTGGTAGCTGTCGTATTTGTAGTGGGAGCAGAGGTTGCCAAAGGTGTTTCTACCAGAAACATAGCATAAAATTAGCCATTACTTGTCAAATTGAGTCCCTGTTGGTTTTCATCAAAATTAAACAGACAAGTAAACTGGTCAAAAAGACAAATATCAATGCTTCTAAAAAGAGCTACGATGCTATGTTCTTGTGAAGTGTAGAACTCTTTTACTTACTTATTAGACTGATGGTGCTAGGAATGAATGTAACGTTGAACGTAGTGCTGTTTATTGCGTCGACTAAGGTTTGTTGTACATCTTCATTTTCTGGGAGATTTTCAGCAGGAGTAGTTTTATTAAACTCCAACCCCACTTCTGCTTCAGTACTATTCATTCGTGTAAAAAGTAGTAGAGAACTTCTGCAACATAACCATAAATAAAGCAAGTTAAGAAAAAAACTGAAAATAAAAAAAGTAGCAACCTATAATATATAGGCTCTTTTTATTCAAATAACGTAAATCATCATTGAAATCATAATTATACTTGTAGAAAGAGAAGAAGTAACAAACATTTTAAATCTTACCTAAATGCAATGACAAAACTACGAATGAAGCGGAATCCAAACTTCTTTCTGTAGATGATGTCATACTGTAGAACAAAACATTGAGTGAAACCATAAGAACAACGTATCATTCAAAATAGATGTCTACTGAATCTTTGCAAATATAAAATAGGCACATTTCTGTTTGGTACTTACTGTTTCTGTGACTTTTTTCTCAAGATCTTTAAACAATTTGCTGGATTTATTTTCTAGTTGTACATCATATGGTTCAATAATGGTTGCTGCAAGAACATACACTGGAGCAGGAGGTTCAGTTGTAGTTTTTAAAGTAGTTGTCTCTGTGGGGGCATTTGTGGGTGGATTTGGGGGAACAATTGTGGATAGAGATGGGGCTGCTGTTGGTATGGTTGGAGCAGCTGTGGTTGTTGTTGGAACTGCTATGGTTGTAGTTGGAGCAGCAGTGGTTGTGGATGGAGATGCTGTTGTTGTAGTTGGAGCAGCTGTTGTGGATTGAAGAGGTGTGTTTGTGGTTGGAGGAGCTGTGGTTGTGGTTGGAGCTGTTGTGGTTGAAGCAGCTGTGATTGAGGTTGGAGATACTGTGGTTGGAGCTGCTGTTGTTGTAGTTGGAGATACTGTGGACGGACCTGATGTGGTTGTAGTTGGAGCTTCTGTTGTTGTGGACGGAGCTGCTGTGGTTGAAGCAGCTGTGATTGAGGTTGGAGATACTGTGGTTGGAGCTGCTGTTGTTGTAGTTGGAGATACTGTGGACGGACCTGATGTGGTTGTAGTTGGAGCTTCTGTTGTTGTGGACGGAGCTGCTGTGGTTGAAGCAGCTGTGATTGAGGTTGGAGATACTGTGGTTGGAGCTGCTGTTGTTGTAGTTGGAGATACTGTGGACGGACCTGATGTGGTTGTAGTTGGAGCTTCTGTTGTTGTGGACGGAGCTGCTGTGGTTGAAGCAGCTGTGATTGAGGTTGGAGATACTGTGGTTGGAGCTGTTGNTCCACGCACTCCTGGAATGCATTTTATAACGCGCATAAGGGTCTGACAATATAATGTACAGTAATAATCGAAGACGTTTCTGTTCTAGAGTTTGTCACTATTTCTGAAGTTTAAAGCAAAAGTTTTTGCTGCATTAGATTTTATTTTGATTTATTGCAGTTTTAAATCAGCTGGGTCAAAATAGAAACAAAGTTTACTCTCCAAAAAGTATTAAATGTTATATTTTCCACAATATGTGAAAAGAGTTACACAAACCACTTAACAACAAGTAAAGGCACAAATACGAAAGTGAACGAACAAAATTTCATAAAGATATTATATTTAAGATAACATGTATTCATATGTCTCAATTTAGTTAAGATGTATGTAGTGGTTAAAATATAATACTAATTTCAATAAATGTATGTTTTATGATAAGAACAAAACATGTATATCTATTTGTTTTCTCTAATACTAACATGAATATTTTTACCAGCAATATTCGGTAGACTTTAAATCCAATAACATACAAAATTACATATCAAATCCTTGATTTCAAATATGTCCAAATGTAATCAGGAAGTTTTTATTTATTTATTTATTTATTTATTTATTTATTTATTTATTTAAATATATAATGACACAGAAATTGTTTTTGGGAAACCTTTTCGCGTCCGGAGATATAAATAGCAGCAAAACTGGCCAAACCACCGCAAACATGCAGGAAGAAAGATCTATGAAACAAGACAGCAGCCTGCTTACGTTAAGCATCAGCATTCCATGAATACAAAATACGTTTTCAATGCTGGTATTGAAGAGATTTATATTGTATTGGCTGGTGAACGACGTCAACAGCAAACAAGGGACTCCTTTCGTCAGAAAATGCCGGTGGCATCGCTTTTGGACGCCTTCCCGTCGATTTTATGAAAAAATGACTGAGAAAAAAGGAAGAAGAAAAAAAGCCGCACAACTGGAAAAGTATTTTATTTGACATTGGAAGTTATACATGTACTTTTCAAAAAGACGATTTTTTTTTTTCTCTCACAGTTTGACTTTACATCAGACTAAACTGTAACTGGATACAAAAGTAATGATGTATTTCTATCCGTTTAGTGCCAGAATGTTTAGAAAGACATTTTCAAGTGATTGCTTTATTAGTTTATTCAATGTCAAAGGCTTAGACAAAATAAACAAAATTAAACAAAAATATTTAATGTTCTGTATTACAACGGGTCTTAAGAAGTCTCTGGTTGAAGACATGTCGCCTTTGCTACGGCTTACTACGTTATTCGTTTGTGAATTTTTTTTTTTTTTACAATAACCTTGAGTGGCTCCAGAAATGTCGCCAGAGCAGGGCCAGACTTTATTATCAGCGTTTCCAGCGGCTGAGATGATTGCACCCACACTGAGCTACAAAGCATCTCTAACAGACCTCAACTGCAGCCAGTCATTTTGTGCGGACATGACCCGTCAGCACCACAAAGTAAATTATTATTTATTTATTTATTTATTTATTTATTTATTTATTCATTTATTAATCATAACATATTTAAATAGAACGTGTGACGCATGTTAATCGCTACATGAAATACAAAAGTAACACATTTGCACTAGACACGGATTAACCTCCTCCAGTCCCCCCTTCACCTTCTCCCTGCGGTCCAATCTGTTCGGCACCCAATCTCAAGTTCTGCAGACACCAGTGTTTGAACACGGCCTCGAAAAGACATCAGGAGTCGGATCGGGAAAGTTCGTGCAGCGGTCTCGCGCGCCGTTCGCTGTCTTTATCTCTCGCGCAGCCCCGGCTGTGCGCGCCGCTTTGAGAGGGAGAGAATCCGGATGAAACATTAAACTTATTTTACGGTTGTTGACAGGAGAAGAAGAAGAAGAAGTGGGGAGAGAGGGGATGGACGGGCATAATTTTGCACGCAAGTGCCACGTAAAAAAGAATGCAGCAATAATATTAGCTTTGAACTAAATAAAAACATGAAAAATTATCCATACAAAAGCATCAAAGAGGTAAGATAGTCCCCTGGTCAGGCATCTGTCCCGCTTCAAAAACGATTTACTTTGAACAGAATAGTTAGTTTGTCTAAAAATAATTATTTAGCTTCATGTGAAAAAGTTCTTCAGACTTTGAGGGCTTTCTCGTTTTAACAAGCTCCTCCCAGGAATCTTCTTCAGGAATACCAAACCTGATTATATGGGCAGAGGTGAGTACAAAACAATGTACTTAAGTAGGAGTAGGATTACTTCAACATGTTTTTACTCAAGTTAAAGTAAAAACGTAACCATCCAAGAAATTACTCAAGTAAGAGAAAGCAAGTACCTCGTTAAGGATCTGTCCGATGGTCATGGAATGACTGATGTGGAACCAGAGCAACATCAGCACCCTGGTCGCCTTTTGGGTCCCCCTAATGTCCCACATACACTATATACAGAGTAGTGAAACGCTATCTTTTATAAAATCACCACTCTTGCTGGAATAAAATTTCTGGATACCCACTGTAAGTAACTTCACCGAGTGAAGGAAAATAATTAAAAAAATGCATGAGGGACAGACACACCTAGTTTAAGGTAAAACGAGACTTATTGTTTATGCACAGGCTTTGTTATTCTACTGCTATTTTCTACCTGCTTGGCCTGCTGTGACATTTGGGACTTTACCGTGTTCTAACAATGAAGTGGGCGATGATGTACGTTAGTCTTTAAAAGGTTACTCAAGTACTGAGTAACTGATCAGATCATCTGATTTAATATTTAAAAACGATGCCAGTCAGAAATATAATGCTATGTATAATTATGTAACTGGCTCTGGTGATTTTAACAACCTCATAAAAAAATTTAATGAGTCTTTATGATGTAAATATTTAATGTATGTTAGGATGTATGTTGGATGTTATGAAGAGCACGGGTTCCTTTTTTAGCTACTTGTGGTGCATTTTTAAGCATAAAAAAAAGAAAATGCTCTTTCTATATTAAAGAGATTTTTATATATATATATATATATAAAAATATATATAATATATATATATATATATATATATATATATATATATATATATTTTTTTTTTTTTTTTTTTTTTTTTTTTTTTTGTCTTCCATACTTCAGCGCTGTGTCAGCCCGTCCAAGGTCTACCATCTTGTTTTGTAAACATGCTTTACAGCTTGTATTTATTTGGACTTTGAATTCAGATCAATTCCAAGAAGGGATGATTAAAATAAAAGTATTTATTTGAAAATGCTTTATGTGATTTGTAATTTCTTTAAAAAAAAAAAAGAAAGAAAAAGCGAATTTTTAAAAATTCAAATCAGACATCTAATTTAGTATGAAAAAATCGGAGATTTTATGTTGTAGCTGTGTCACCCATCCCAATGCTCAGAACAGAATAGAAGCAATATTTTTTACATAATGTATTTATTGGAAACAACTACATTGTATTTTACACCCTTTAACACATCTTTCACCCTAAAGGTAAATATCGCAATGATCTTAATTTAATTTAATGTTGATATTGTCTGTTATTACATTTCTTCATCAGATACACAGAAATAAGCTTGCATAACACTTAAGAGAATATTGAATACAGAAACAACCAATCTCATTTATTTGTTTATATTAAAAAGAAAAACAAGATAATCACAAAGGTTATCTTGTGATTAAGAGATGCTCTACATCTCTTTTATCCCATAGCATTCATTTATAGAGGATTCTTTAGAGCTTGCATAAACTGTGTCACCTACTAATCATTCAGGTAATTCCTTCATTAGAATTAAAAAATATATATAAATAATGAACATGATAATGAAACTTCATATAAGTATAAAGTGCAGTGGATTTGAGAAAGAAAATCTTTAAATCCTTCGTCACTTCTTTTGACAACAGAAATGACTCGATAGAAGCAGGAAGTTCACGAGTTATTTTCTTCATAGACTGGATCCAGGATTTTACTGCCAAAGTAACATCTTAATCACATCTTCACAAGTTGTACACATAAATGTTCTTTTATCAGTATTTAAGTTTTTGACTGATGATTTGCTGAAACATGCTTAGAAAATGTTCTTTGAGTAATTATTTCTCTTAAACAAAATGCCCTTTCATGTGGTTTCCAGTTAGAATATATTTTTAAGCAGATTATCTGCTAGAAGTTAGCACAGATGTTAGTGTTGGCTTGACAACAGCCATGACAACAGGACCATGCAGGAAGCCATGATGAGACTGATCTTGTGGTTTCCTCCACTTGACACCTCTGTAAACATTGAGACGGAAAAACACTACGTCAATAAAATGTTCCATAGTGAAACGGTTTTTAATAAAACATGTTTTATGATTTGTATTTATGTAGATAATTATCCTGATATCTGAATTTATTTTAGCTTACGTGTTCCATCCACAAAAATGCTAGTAGTGTCAACGGTGAAGGCAGTGATGTTTGAAGCTGCGTTGACCAAAACTTGCGCAATTTCGGATCCAGTAGGAGGAGATGCAGATGCAAATCGAAGGTCCATTACATTGATGATTGAGCCGTTTCTATGCAACAAAAAACATATGTGAATTGGAAGAATTTTTTTTTTTATCTCAAAGTTAAGACACTGTAAAAAAATTACCTGAAAGACTTCACTGTTAGATCACTGAATGAAGAAAACGATCGCTTGTAGTATGGTTCAAGCTGAAGAAAAAAGAAAATTCAAATCAAATGTTGATGTTAAAATCGTGTTATTTAGAACATTATGGGAATTATTGATGGACTAGATACAGAACAGAAAACCTAGGTAAGTAGAATCTCAATAAATAGGCACATTTATTTTTTAGGGGGAAAAAAAGTCTCTTGCAACATTGCTTAATATATGTAGCAAATATTTTGTCTGTGAAAGCAATGTTCTGATCATTTGACTGTTACAAATTTCAAAGAAAATCACTCACAGTGGACTTTAAAAGTGTGGCTCGGTTTTTAAATGCTGTCGACGTTAAGTCGAGCAAATCGGTTGTAAAGGTCTCTCCAGGAGACCTAAAAGTCAGCTGCCTTATTGTTTGCACCGCAGTTGTGGTTTTTGTTGTTGTGGTGGTTGTAACTGTAGTAAGCGTTTTAGTCGTTGCATTGCTAGCAGCTGACGTTCCAGGCTTCATTGTTACTGCAACGGTAGTGATGTTGGCAGCAGTTCCATTGGTTGTAATCGTCGCATTTTGCAAAACTGTTGTACTAACGATTGGGGGTGCAGTTGCAGGTACACCTGCCAAACAAAGACAAGCATTGAAAGCAACACATTAGTATGCAGAAAAAAAACAACAAAAAAGTGAAATGTAAAATTGATCATCTCTCTTTACCATTACAAAAGGTGAACTAATCATTTTTTTAAGTAATCAACTAAATATTTATCACAATAAAAATAAACTGCATAGTTAGTCAGTGTTTTTTTTTTTTTTTTTTAAATCAGTCTGTGCAAATTTTGGTCATTGGAGATTCTATTTAGTTACTATTGTGCTGACAAATTAAAAGAGGAATTACTTGATTTATTGTTTTAAAATTAAACTGAAAGTCAACTGCTTTTTCTATAGTGATAAAAATAACAATGAATTAAATAATTTTATTTTTTATCATATTTTTAAAGATAATTAGCAATGACAAAGATCCACTAAATTTCTCTGCTTGGAAGCTTTCCAGTCAAGTTCCACTAGGAGGTTAGCTTGATAAAAAACAGTTCCTTGTTCTCTATGCTTTGCTTCATTCAGGAGGTCTGGTCCCTCGACTAAAGAGTAATGATGTACTCTATAATGCATCCATCCATCCATCCCTCCATTTTCTATAGAACCTTATCCCTTATTGGGTTCGGGAGGGTTGCTGGTGCCCGTCTCCAGCTAATGTTCCGGGCGAGAGGCAGCGTCACCCAGGACAAATTGCCAGTTTGTCACAGGGCAACGCAGAGACAGACAGGGGACACACACACACACACACACACACACACACACACACACACACACACACACACACACACACACACACACACACACACACACACACACCTAGGGAGAATTTAGAGAGACCAATTAACCTGACAGTCATGTTTTTGGACTGTGGGAGGAAGCCGGAGTACCCGGAGAGAACCCACCATGCACAGGGAGAACATGCAAACTCCATGCAGAAAGACCCTGGGCCGGGAATCGAACCCAGAACCTTCTTGCTGCACCACTGTGCAGCCATACTCTATATAGTATATAGATATAGGGTATATAGAGTATACTCTATAGAGTCCACACAGGAGGTGTGGATTCTGTGCAAGTTTGAAACCGCTGTAGTGGTCCTACTCCCCTTGGGATTGTTTACAGCAGTGGTCCCCATTGGTACCGGGCCGCTCAAGAAATAATTAAATATTTCAGTTTTATGTATTATATGAGTCTGGAGGATCTTTTATTTTGAAAATCCTTCAACCGGATTCTCTCACAAGCAGCAAAATGAGTAAGAAACGGATCAGATGTCTTTGGAAAGTTTCTTTGATGGATTTCAGAGATGATATCTCCGATATCCACCGTACTCTCAGTTGCGTGATATGTCAGCTGTTACCGATTCCCCTCTGTTCTGACGTCACCGCGCTTTCTGATTGGCTACCTGTCACATTCAACAGGTTGTAT